TCCTGCTTGATATAGCTACTCTGGGGATAACAGTGTGCATCTGCTTGGGTATGTTGTGCCCCTGCCCCCAGGCCCAGAGTATGGTCTGAGACACATTTTATTTATTGGTATGGACAGAATTATTGGTTACATGGGGATTACTTCTTGTGTACTATCAGACATGAGGAAGGAGATTGGTTTATGACTCTGATTTGCCAATAACCCCAGCAAATTTGCTCTCCTTATCAGAAAAAAAAGAAAAAAAAATCTACAGAGAATGAGAATGACTTCTGAACACAGTCCTTACCTGGAGGGAAAAAAAATCCTGAAAGCATTTTTTCAGGTATTTCACCCTTCCTGTTTGTTTTCATGGTTATTTACTAGTTTGTTTGAGAAAACATAACAACTTATCTCTCTGAGATCAGAATGAATATGACAATGGCTGGTTAAAAGGAACCTTCATAAGCAGATCGGTTTCTGTAATACTGCCTTCAATTAATTAATTATCAATCATTTATGAACACTAGGCTAAACAGGAGACAGTAAAACAGACACCTCTATTACCACTGTGATAAGCACATCAGCTGGATATTGAATCCCCAGTAAAACAGACATCTCTATTACCACATTTGTGATAAGCACATCAGCTGGATATTGAATCCTTTATTGCTTAAATAGAAAAGTTACTTACATTCACTTAGCATCTTGAAACCTGTAACTGCAGACTTGCTACGCGACAGATTCTCAATTTTTCTCACACTAACAGCTGTACTTTTAAATAAACCTTTCTCCATTTGCATTTGTAGAGTCTTTCCCACTGCTCTGAGATTAATTCCTCCTTACATGACCTTGAGGCACCTCCATGGGACAGAGAGGATATAAAATCAGAGACCACCTATATCAGAGTAGGCATCTGCATATCAATAATACCCACAAACTGTTTATTCCTTCAGTAAAGTTGCTTCAAGTATACGATTACTCTGAGGCCAAGGACCAGATGCTTCATCAGAGGCAATATGGCTCTGTACCCATTTGTGA